GAATGCAATTAGAATTATCTATATTTAGTGCTGTCTTATAAAAGGTGCTGAGGCTTATTCATAAACATTGCTTTGTATTTTAATTTTCAACATATTTGAGCATATGTCAACATGAACAAAAAAGCTCATCCCACTGAGTTTTTCTCCCTGAAAAATAAGCTTATAGATGCATTGAGAAGTAAATTAGCATATTCAGATGAGAACACTGTGTACATCAACCATTTGGGGGGTTTAAAATGTAGATATTTTCATGGAAAACATTGAAATTTTGTGTGGGAGGGTCAGTAAGTAATAAAAGCTATTATAAATGAAGCTCATAGCTCTTTCTTCTGATTCATCAGTTATCTCTACTGTAGAATTTTGACTTTAATCAGATGATTTTTTTTGAGATTAGCAGTCTTAATCAATGCCCCAAAATCCCATTCCTCAGAATCAGTCTTAAAAATGCAACAGAATAGAAAATATCAATATATCAGTTTTTGCTGTATTTTTGAATGAATCAAAACATATACATTAAGAAATTACTTTATAAACATACCATTAAAGCTGGAAGAAATAAATGTATTTTTCTATTTGACTGTTAGTGATGATAATAATCAAGAAAATAAAGTAGGTCTACAGTTTGTTCTTTTTATTTGAAAATACCTTAAAATTCTCGACAGCTAAGCTTCTTATGAAATATGGCAATAGAGACTTAGATATGTTTGTGAGATGTTGAGAGATTGACTTAGAAATATAGCATTTTAAGCTAAATGTTATGAAGATCAAAACTTATCCAAGGACCAAATTGTAGTGTATTAACAAAAGGGCAAGTAGGAATCTGAGGCACTGAGTTCCATGCTGTATGTGAAATAGTACAACACTCTATATTTTAATCTGAATTTACAGATTTATTTAAAGAACTGTCATTTCATCTACTCTCTTTAGCTATCTCTATACTTAGAAGATTTCACATGAACTCCTGCTTTCAATACCATTTATATGTCAATAAGCCTGAGATCTGTGCCTCCAACTAAACTCTCCATTAAGATGCAAACTCAATTATCTAACCACCTACTTGACTTCTTCACTTGGTGTATAAATAGGCACCTCAGTCAAGCATGGATATTTCAATCTCTTAATCCCTTCCCCCAATATTACTCTCCGTGTCTATCTTGTCTCCAGATAAGGTGCTATCTACTTAATTACTTGGGTGGAAAGCCTAGAAGTTGCCCTGATTTATTTTGTTCCTCCCCTAAAATCCAAGCCCTGAGGACAACTTGCTATCATACACAAAATGTATCCTGCACCCACCCACTTTGCTCCATCTCCACCGCTATCATCATGTCTTCCTGCACTTCAATGGTCTCCCAGTTACCCTCCACGCCTCCACTCTTGGAGCCCATTCTTCACACAGAAGCCAGCACAATCTTTGTGAATACACAAAAGATCATATCACTTTCCTGTTGAAAACCCTCCAATGCCCCTTCCTTGTACTTAGAATAAAATTCAAACTGTTCGCCATAGGCTACAGGGCCCAGTGAAATCTGGTCCCTATCCTCCAGTTTCCACCACTTAACCACTATGCTCTAGCAACACTGTTTTTGAACAATCCAACTTCTTTCCTACATTATTGCCTTTGCATGACTATATCACCCACCTGCAACACAGTGTCCTGAATAGCTTTCTATGGCTGAAACGTCTTCCTACTCAAGTCCCCACTCAAGTGTCCCCTTCACAAGTGAGGCCTTCCCCCAAGTCAACACTAAGTCCTAACTTGTCCTTACCACCAGGAGTCTCATTTCTCACTGTGAAAATTATCAGGGTCATTTATTTGTTTACTGTTTATTATTTGTCTCCCCCAACACAGTCTAAGTGCCATGAAACTAGGAGCTCTGTGGTCTTTCTTTCTACTACTCCATCTTCATTACCTAGCACATGTCACATACTTTGTGTTTCAAAATGCATTATTGAATGAATGAAATAAGTGCTAGGGTAGGACACGTGCAGAAATATTAAGGAAGCAGGCATTAGAGCTACCGAGAATCGAATGGGCTGCCTCATGTTCACACTGTCACAGGCAGTTTGGTGGAGAGGGAAGGGTACTCTTGGGCTGCAATTGAGGGTATCTAGATTTTGGTAGGAAGTGAACAACATGCAGGGCTGACATATGGCAGCATCTAATTTAAAGATGTGTTTTGTTTGCATACTAGATTATTTTAAGTAATCTTGATTTTGAATGCTTTTCTAGAGTTTTTGCACTTTCCAGCTCACCACAGTACTCGTCATTTGCTATTGCCTTGGATATACTACTTTACCCAGTGTTACAGCCATTACTCACCTGATCTGTTTAAGGACTTGAATTTTTTACAACTGTTCTAGATACTCACTAAAATCATTTTTGCTCTTAGCCTTAGATAAATAGAAAACTGTTGACATAATTTTTTTCTTTTTTGTAAGCAGAAAAATGGAAGTGGGAGAAGAGGGGAGAAATAATAAAAAATAAATTCTCATATAAAAGTGACAACTAAATTGTTTCTTTGTTTCAGTTAGAAAGTTTAATGTCTTTTCCATCTAACTTTTAAATCTAGAATAAACATATTGATAATTTACTGTCGACTCTAGAAATACGTGATTATATGACTATGGAATAATTTGTTTATAAAACATCTATAATTCATGACATCTTACATAAGATCACACATGGAAATTAATTGAAATCCTGCTTTCAGTTTTGTAAAACCTATAAAACCATAGTTACTTAAACAGAACTTAAAAGTAATAAAGGCATTTCTGTATTTAGCATGTAGAAAATACATTTTCTATATTTAGCATGTAGCTTTTCAAGTGGGGAGTAAATGATCTAAAAAACCCTTTTCCTGTTTTCTATAGTCTTTATTCTTCTATACTTTTGGCACCTAACCTCCACTGATTTCACAAATTTAAGGTAGTTCATGTTTAATTTTTAAACTTAAATGTTCCAATAAGAACTAAATTTTTAGAATGAAAACATTTTAAATGTAATCTCTACATTTGTGGGCAAAAGAGCTATACGATAATGAAATGGGCATTTTTATTATTATCTATGAAACTTTAATTAAACTGTTGTATAAAAGTTCAGCTTCCATTTTCTGTCCCCTAGAAGCTAACTCCTCCAAAGTGTCTCCTCAGTCTTCCATTTTTGCCCTTTTTGGAGAAAAAGAAAAAAGTGCAACTCCATATAGTACTGAGATCTGCATGGTACTTATTCAAGCAATTAAAATCAGCCGGTGAATTTAACAACCTTAAGGGTTATACCATTTTAAAGAATATGTTATAAGTCTGCAGATTTATTTTCATTAGTGGTCACTATGCAGTGGCAATAAAGTTCTTCCCCTTTCATACTCGATTACATTGACATCCTGTTGAGAGTCATTATACTTTTTGTGGCTTTAAGTAGCATCTTCTCCTTTGATTGAATTTTTGTTTGATAGATATTTTTAATTTGTGATTTAGTAAGAAACACTATAGCACAGTCTAACTTTATTATAATGAATTAAAATCAACCAGCATTTTGCTATGGAAAAATAGAGAAATATTGCATATAAAGTTAGTAAAAGGATAAATTTAAAAGTGTACATTCTTGTTCATGGAAGCCAATTATAGCAACTTTTGGTTCACACATAAAGCTCAATGTTTGAAATCATTTGCAATTAAAAATTGTAAATTTCCAAATAAACAAAGTTTATAGCCTTACTTACTTTTCTCCTAAAGTTGGAGACATTGCATAGGGTTATTTTATGCTAAGATAATATGGCAAACTCAGTAATGGAATGTTGGACATTGAAGCCTGTACTTTATATGTGTGTATTTTTTAAAAAATTTACTAACAAATGGAAGTACAATGGCAGACTTAAGTCATCCTACAAACCAATGAAGTCTACTTATGAGTTTCTCATTGTGAGCTAGCTAGTAATAATGTAATTAAAATTTGATTTTTGATTTTTTAATTTAATATTTATTTAAATTAATAAAAATATAGGCTTCGACTTATATATATTCCATTTGTAATATCTGTTAACAACTGGGCAGGGCTAGGGCTATATCTGCCTAATAGCTACCATAAGGTTTTTTTTTTTAATTTTGTTTTTGTTTTTAAGACAGGGTCTCACTCTGTTGCCCAGACTAGTTTGCTTCCTGGTTCAAGTGATTCTCATGCCTCAGCCTCCCAAGTAGCTGAAATTACATGGCTGTAATTCCATACCTGGCTAATTTTTGTATTTTTAGTAGAGACAGAGTTTTGCCATGTTGGTCAGGCTGGTCTTGAACTCCTGAGTCCAAGTGATCCACCCACCTTGGCCTCCCAAAATGCTGGGGTTACAGGCATGAGCCAACGCACTCAGCCTTACTGTAAGTTTTAAACTAACAATTCTCTTTCAATTTGTGAACTCTGTTAGTAATATCACAAAAGGAAAAAAAAAAAAAGAGAGTAAAATAGCTGGGAGAAAATATTATCCTTCAAGCTAAAAGTATTTAGCCCAGTGATAGTTTGACTATGGTATCTAAATAAATGGCTTCTTAAGAAATATAATCTGTGACTAAACTGAAATTATTTGGAAGTCTTCACAATTGATTGTATACAAAGTATAAAAATTTAACTTTGAGTGTGAAACAACAAAAATTATGTGCTAAAAAGTATTTTTTTTTCCTCAAAAAGTAAGTAAAATTCCCCAAAAAATGCATCGCAAGAACACACATATACACAGCTTACATAGTATTATGGGCATGTTACAATTATGGGGAAATGAAAAAACATATGCTAGGTATACATATTCATAAGAAAGTCACCTTAGCTGAATATATTCAAGAAAGATTTATCTTAAATATTATTTGAAATATAAAACAATTTTTAATTGCATTAACTCCTGTGTTAAATCCACCAGGATTCTTCATCAACAGCTCATGCCTCTGATAGACTAGAAGTGCTGATTTTCTAAACATTAGTTAATTAACTGTTTTTCTCATCAGACGTATATACTGACCTGTCTCCCTTGAAGAAATAGGTTTTCCCAACGTCCTCCCACCAAATGGCTGAATCAATACCATGAGGGGGGATTCCACTTCCAAGGGTTATCAAGTCATGAGGGTAACCAGGTTGAAGAGTTGTATCCTTGAACACCCAATATTTGTTACCTGTATGAAATAAGTGTAAATGCAGAATATACTAATTTAATGTCAGAAATTAGAATATATCTAATTAACACAATACATTTAAAATTATTATATTAAATACATACTATACATTTAAAATTATACTAAATATATATCATATTAAATCCTTGAAATAAGTTATTAGTTGTCCCATCTGGAATATTAATGTTATCTTTGAAATATCATTCACAAGTGGATATAATGAACACTACTTATTAATATAAAAATATAACCAAAATTTGTGAGTGAATTTAAAAAATAAAATAGATCTACAACTTCACCATAAAGAAACAATTCTAAGTCAAGGATGAAGGATTCTTCCCCTAGGAATTTGAGGCCCTACTTTTTGTCAAGGCTAAATCATTCCTGTATTTTGAGCAACGGGTATGCCCTCAGATTGACTTAGTGATTATAACCTCTACTCGACTGAAACACTTCCTCTGGGCTGGTCCTTTCCTCTGATTATATAAATGTTCACAAGTCTCCCTAGTCTTATATATTCATCCTCCCTTGACCTCATGCCCTCTTCTGTTAACTCTATTCCTGCCTTTAAGAGTGGTAACGGAGGGGAGGAAAATTTTAACTTTAACCATGTTTGGAATTGCTGGAGCATGGCATGATGATACCAAAAAGCAGACAAAAGCAGACAGGCTTTAGTCAGTTGTATTGCGATTTGACAATTCTCTACAGACAGCACATTTCCTCATGCCCTCCCTGTGCCCCTGGCCGACTGCGCCCACCACTTCCCTTTCTAGTATGCCTATCAAGTTTCAGTCCACTAAGCTTTTTGTTCTGGAGTCACCAATGCCCTCCAACTAAACAATTTTCCATCCTTATCTATTGACACAATTGACCACCTTAAGTACTTTCCTCCCTGAGCTGCCAGAAAACCATTTTCTTTTGTTTTGCTTGTTCTCTAGCTGCTCCTTTCTGGGCTTACTGTATTGTACTCAGCCCTTGAATGTTGTTGTTTCCTAGGATTATGTTCTCTACTTTCTTCTCTTCTTATCCTAAATAAGGAAGGGTCACAAACTCAAATAACTACAGGGGCCAGGTTAGGGATGATAGTAGTAGTGCAGTATCTACACTAATATTGAGATATTTCCAAAAAAGTCAGTAAATATCTATTACCCTAAAGGCGTATTTCCCTCCTTCCCCAAGTCCTCTTCTCCTGGGCCTTCTGAATCATTCTATGATCCAGCATCGTCTTGGATCTCTGGCACCTCCTGGGGTTAATGTCTGGCAAAGTAAGGTGTCCCAACGTCCTTTCTACAATATTTCAAAACCACCCATAGATAAGGACTATGATAAACCATAGCTTTCCTGTAATACCTAAGAGTATTCAAAAAATTTAAAACATGTGCTCTCTTAACACAAAATAAGCTAACAAAAACCACACATCCTTAGGTTAAACTTAGGAGTTTCTAGTTTGTAACCATGGGTAATCTCATTTACTCCAAGACCTTCTACTAACATTTGATACCATTTGAGTTAAAACAACATTTACTGGGTATCTTCAAGCATCCCAAGTATCATACCAGGTACTCAGGATACTGAAGAGGGTAAGACAGACCTGATTGCTACCCTGATCATCCTACATGACAGCAGAAGAGGCAGATGAAAACCAAATATACACATGGATAATTGTAGTAATTCAAAAACTAGTGAAGGCTAAAAACAAAACAAAAACAAAAACAGGTTGAGAAAAAAAATAAAGGGAATGTACTTTAGGTAAAAAGGTCAGAAAGACCTCTCTGAAGAAATACAACAAAATCTAAAGAAAGAGAAAGTAATAAATATGCAAAGAATATTGGGAAGTGCATTCAGAGCAGAGGACAGTTTGGGATGATTAACGAATTGAACGAAGATCTGTAATTTGTAATAAGCAAGGACAAAATCTTTGAAAATGAACATAATGAGTTGAAATCTTATTTAGAGTGTACTGGAGGCCATCAAGGAGATGAAATTTGTGTTGGGTTGTGATTGGTTTTATACACTAAAATGATTTTTGGTGAAAAATGGATTATAAAGGGAAGAATGAAAACAAGATGACCCATCAAGAGTCTTTGGCAAGAATTAATTGAATCATTCACTCAATAATTACTCAGTACATGCACCAGGCACTATTGTAGGCACTACAGATAGAGAAGTGAAGCAGAAGGTCAACATCTCTATCTCATGAAACTTAGATATCAGCGAGTGAGTATGGAAACATTGACTTGAATCAAACAGATAAATAAATTAAAACTTCAGAAAGCAAAGTGCTATACAAATAGAGAAAGAAAAAAGGATATTAAGGTGACAGTGATGGGATGGGGCTACTTTGTATTAGACATAGGAAAGATCTCTTTATTCAACTGTGACATACTATTCAAGGGAGCCAGACCACTGAAGATTGTTTGAGGTAAAGGAAACATAAAGAATAAATGTTATAATGGGAAGAAGCTTGTTGTGCGGCTAGAAGAGAGTGTGATAGGAGTGTATAATGATAGAGGTGAGGATCATGTAACCCATGTAGGAGTTGAACTTTATTCTAAATGAAATAGGAAGTCATTGAATAGTTAAATCAAAAAGTTCTTTGATAGTGGTTTGGACCAATACAGCAGAAATAGAGATGGAAAGGATAAAACAAAGTCAGGACATATTTTGGAGATGGAATTGATAGGCATTGCTGAAGGAAATAAGATAAAGATAATATTAAGAATGATATTCAAGATCTAGTTTGTGTAGACAAGTGAATAACAGTGTTATTTAATAAGACAAGACTAAAGGTGAGTGGGAAGTTTAAATCAAGGGTCTGAGATGTCAGTGAGATATCTACATAAAGAAGTCATGTAGATAACCAGGTATGTCACTTTGAAAGTAAGTTTGTAAGACACAAGCCTACACGTGGCATTTAGGATAAATTTAGGACATGTTGAGATTATCCTGGGAAAAGTATATACAGAAGATAAAGAGTAACCATAACTGGACTTCTAGTAATCTATGACCATTGGGAATGATCACATAAAGGAAGAGGGAAGAGGAGGCACATGAGGAGAAAGAAAAGGCAGTGTTGAAGACAAAAGCAAAAGAAAACGTCAGAAGCCGAAAAGAAAAAAATGTAGTCATAAATGACTATCTCTGATCCAAATATCTCTTGAAAGCCAACCAGTATCCATAGTTATCTGATGGGATTTTCTACAAAGTTCAAATCTGAACTCATCTGAAAACCTTTCTTATTTTCCCTCTTTGGGTAGATGGAATGCTAGTTATTCTGTGGATGACATCAGAAACCTCCTTGTTCATTATTTTCCGTATTTAATGGATCATTAAATACATTCAGCTGATTTCAATTCCTAACTCTCACTTAGAACTGTCCTTTGAAGGTTGTTCTTTTTTACCAATGGTCCTTTCCATCATCCCTTCCATCGTCCCTTCTAAAGGTAATTGCTTTGTCCACAAGCTGTAAAGTAGTGTCATTGTTCTCCAAATCCACTCTCTATACTATCACTGTAAGACTAGAGCCAGTCAAAATGCTGTGATGCAGAGTAAGCTATGGAGACATGGCTTCATCTGATAAGCAGAGATAAGCAGAACCATCCATGTTTCTCTCTTGGGAGGATGACCCAGAGAATACTGAGAGATTTTTCCCTCTCAGAGGGGAAATTGACTATTTTTATATAATATGAAGCGTGAGAAGCCAATATGGCCAGAGGAAGCAGATATTATAAGGAGGCAGAAACTGAATAAAAGAGATGGACTGAAAGAGAAAAGAGAATGAAAAGAGAAAAGTGATACAAGGAGCGAAGCTATGAATGGGAGAGGGACCCTGGCTGTCTGAGTTCCTGTTACACACCCACTGCTTACCATAAGTTCTCCATAAGCTCAATTAATCTTACAGGGTTTATTTTTCTTTTAACTGAATGAGACTGATCAACGTAAAATTGTGAACAATCAAATATCATGTAAGTTATTAGTTGCATCTGAGCCCAAGCCTGTTGGCCAGAATCCTGGCTCTAGCCAATGATATCATGCTGTCTTTCAGCCATGAGACTTAAGAGAAACCTGTTTATTTCCTAGCTTACGTTATTTCAACAGTTACCTTTCTCATTTTATTGTCTCCAGTCAGTCTCCCTTGTAACTGTCCTCCACAAAGTCAACAAAGGGATTTCTTGAAAATGCATACTTGATTTTTGCCTCTCTTTTGTTTAAAATTTTCAGTGTTTTCTCACTGCATTCAGGATAAAACCCAAATTCATTATATGTCATTTCAAGGCTCCTTTCAGTATGGGTGTCTTATCTCATCTACATTCCACTTATCTCCATTTATGGAAAACTAGGATGACACTTTCAAAACTTAGCTTAGCACGATTTCTCTGAAAAACATTTCCCATCTGAGTATGGTGGGCACTTTACATTGTCAAAGTACCAGCATTTACCTTGATCTTATTACTTAGTACATTGTACCCTGATGAATCACAAGCCTGCCACCCACTTTAGAGTGTGAGTAACTTGAGGAAAAACACTACATCGAACACATTATTTTCCTGCAGCACCTCATTTATAGTGCTTGGAAAGTAGGTGCTTAATAAATAGTTACTGAAGCAAAGAACCATGTTTAATATTACACGACTACTCAAATATAGGACCAAAAATCTAACAAAAGGCACAATAAAGGCTACATAAATACCATTGAGGGCATTACTTTGGAATCGTGTTAGTACAGCAGGAAAGAAAAATTTTATAACCACTAGCAAGAGTGAGAAAATATAAGGCACGCTCTGGTATGGTGCTGAAAAATCATTTATTTAAGTGATTATATTTAATCAAGTGTTGGGAAATACGGTCATAAAAATGCAAACTTACTCTCAGCCCTTGTATAATCTGAATATTACACACACACACACACACACACACACCCACACCCCCCTCATCCCAAAGGCCCAGATCACTTCCTTGCCAGAGTCAGTGAGTTGGAAAATCCAGAAAGCTGTTTCATA